AATGCCCCCAAAAACTATTTTAGAGAAAACGAATTGTATTTCCAGTGGGATGTGGGGACATTTTGGTGTGTGCTATGTCATGGGCCAGTGTATCTAGAAATTAGACTGCTCAGCTTCTACAAAGGTCTTTGAACAAACCTGGTCTCAAGGGACCAGGGCCCCCTCAAAAGTTGTAAAGAGAGCAGGTGTATACAGGCAGAAGTGAGAAAAACATGGTCTTTGCAGCCAACTAACTGTTTTGTTCATGTCACTCAGAGACCATTGACACTGAAAGGAATCCTGGTCATCATGGTGCCCAGTGCAAGGGTGGGGCTGGTCTCTCAGTCTCCGGACATCAATCTTATTTGGTAGGATGAGACACCTGAGACGCAGAGAGGGAGAGGTCACCTAAGGTCACACAGTACAAGCTTCCATCAGGGGCCATAGACACAGGATTAAGTCCTTTCCCAGATTTAGTCCTTGCCACTGTACTATGCCTGGGCTTCCTGCTTCCTTCTCCAGGACACTGAGTCATCCCTCATCCTTAGCAGAATATCTGGGTCACTGGACATTCACTCGCTGATTTAATTTTGGACAGTCTAGCTCATATTCTTTTTTTTTTTTCTTTTTGAGATGGAGTCTCGCTCTGTTGCCCAGGCTGGAGTGCAGTGGCGAGATCTCGGCTCACTGCCAGCTCCACCTCCCGGGTTCACGCCATTCTCCTGCCTCAGCCTCCCAAGTAGCTGAGACTACAGGCACCTGCCACCATGCCCGGTTAATTTTTTGGTTTTTTTTTTTTTAAGTAGAGACGGGGTTTCCCCGTGTTAGCCAGGATGGTCTCGATCTCATGACTTCGTGATCCACCCGCCTCGGCCTCCCAAAGTGCTGGGATTACAGGCGTGAGCCACCATGCCTGGCCTCTAGCTCATATTCTTAGATGTTTATTGATGTTTGCCATCCATCTGTTCATCCTTGGGCTTTCCTAACCTTGGTCCAGGCACGCCGCTTCCTAGGCCTTCTGGTTGGAGGCCGATCTTATCCTGTGCAAATCACCTAGGCCAAGATCCCCTTTCCAGCCAGGGCTCAACTAGCAGACCAGCCAGCTGGCTGACCCCACAGCCACAGCAACATTTTGGCACCTGGACCATGCCCTTTGTCACCCCCTTGTGGCCACTGGGAGAGGTACACCGCCTGGGACTCAGGGTCCACCCCATGTGTGCCAAGTGCATTTGAGCCAGCTTGATTATTCTTTCTGGAAAGGTTTCCTTATTCCTGGATGACTGTGACTTGGGCAGCATTACTCTCCTCCACTCCTGCTCTCCCATTTAACTGCCCATGGCAGCCTCAGCCTCCCCGTTTGAGTCATCAGTCCACCAACTCCCAAAGATTCTTGAGCACCAGTCAAAGGCGATAAATCTGTGAGGATGCAGTCCATGGCGGGAAGTTACAGCCAGTAAAGGGCAGCTGAAGCGCTCACCAAAAATTTAAAAATAATTTGAGGTTCAAATTATACTGTGCCAAGAACTTCAAGAATTAAGAAATGGTGTAATGTAGCTGTGGAGGCCCCAAAGAGAAAAGAATCAAATTGGTCTTCGGGAGACAGGAAGTCTTTTGAAAACAGAAGGAAAGGAAGAAGAGAATTCTGAAAGAAAACAAAAGCCATGAGAAGCAATAACTAACAGCCTGGGCAACATGGGGAAATCCCGTCTACACCAAAGATACAAAAAATTAGCCGGACGTGGTGGCGTGCACCTGTGGTCCCAGCTACTTTGGGGGCTGAGGCCGGAGGATGGCTTGAGCCCAGGGAAGTCAAAGCTGCAGTGAGGTAAGATCATGCCACTGCACTGCAGCCTGGGTGAAAAAGTGAGACCCTGTCTCAAAAAATAAAATTAAATTAAAATAAAAAATAAGTAATAACTAAGGTAGAATTATGGTTTAAATAATATTTCCAAGGAAAAAGATAAAATGGAAATGAACTGTTTCTTTTTATTTTTCTTTTGTTTTTTCCTGAGATAGAGTCTCACTCCTGTCATGTAGGCTGGAGTGCAGTGGCGCGATCTTGGCTCACTGCAACCTCCACCTCCCAGGTTGAAGCGATTCTCCTGCCTCAGCCTCCTGAGTAGTTGGGATTACAGGCGTGCACCACCATGCCCAGCTAGTTTTTGTATTTTCAGTAGAGACGGGCTGGCCAGGCTGGTCTGGAACCTGTCTCTTATACACATCTAGATGTGTATAAGAGACAGTCAACGGGCTGGCCAGGCTGGTCTTGAACTCCTGACCTCAGGTGATCTGCCCGCCTCGGCCTCCCAAAGTGCTGGGATTACAGGTGTGAGCCACCGCACCCGGCCAAACTCTTTCTTACTATCTTCTCTAGGTGCTCAGATTCCTTCATTAGTTCTTTTTGCAAAGTATGCACCACACTCTGACTCTGCAATGTTTACATGCTATCCCTTCTGCTGTTCATTAAGACCCTCTTGGTTGCAAGTAACAGAAATCTAACTGAAATTAACCAGAGAAAAAAAGAAATGTATGGATGGAAATACCTGAGAAGGACATGGATAACACTGCCTAAGGTAAGCCTTCAAATCCAGGGCTGGCTCAATATGATCAGTGTGCTCTCTCTTTCTCTCCTTTTTCAGCTCTGATTTTTGCTCTGCTTTTCACTCTTTGGGGGTTCATTCTCTCCTACCATAGCTGGGCTTTCTCTAAGAGTCAGGGATAATGGCTTCCAAGGTAACCAGTTTCACGTCCTTCCAGCTGTGACCCCAAGAAAGAAATAGCAAGAAATGTCTTCCCCACTTGTCCCCAGGGAAAGCCTTTCCTTGACCAGCACCACTTCTCTTCTCTCCCCTGGATCACAGGAGCTAAAAGCCTGGGAATTACATGTCCCAGAATCCCTGTCTTCAGAGTCCTGCATTGAAAAACACCCATGAGAAGCACCTGCCAAGATCTAGAAGGGAGAAAGAAGGCAGAAGCCAGATTTTTGCTCCTCTGGCAATGTCAAACTTTGGGCTTAGGCAGACAGGGCATTTTGCAGCAGTTTCTAGGTACTTTCCTGAAAACCTCAGGCCTCAGGATTGGAGGCAGCTGAGATCATCCCTAGTAGTTTTCTGAGTTCCTTCAAATTCTCTATCTATGAGAGCTAGTGACAAAACCAGTGGCCTCCCTTGACCTTGGCTTTTCCAGACTGTCTTTTGAGTTTTGTTTGTCCAGATTTTCCAAGCACCTGATTGCCTTCATTAAAACCCTTTCCACGTGGAAGGCCTAGAGTGGTTTCTGTTTGTGACCAATTCCCCCAGTGATTTATGCATGTACCCTTGTGCAGGGGTGGGAGGAACCAGGGAAGTCAGGGAGAAAATGCTAGGAGCCAAATCAAGAGCAAATAGTCGAAGAAATGTTCCGGTAGGGGATGAGGTGAGACCATGAAGGGTACTGAGTACCAGACAGTCAGACTTGATGTGCTGGGGAAAAAGGAAGCCAGGCGAATATGATGACAAGGGCCACATTTTAGGGCAACCCATGGTGGTATGTACGGAACAGGTTAGGATGAGGGCAACAGAAAGGAGGCCGAAGCGATAGAAGTGCCCTTGAATGGCGAAATGGGAAAGTACAGAAAAAGGTGCATCTGACAGGTGTGCTGGAAGAAAAAGTAGGATATTTTGGTGTATTGTTATTAAGGACTTAATAGTGGCTGCCATTTATGAAGCTATGATTAATTACGCATCAGGTGGTCTGCTAGGTTCTTTATTTATATTCGTTATAATCCTGCAAGGCCAAAACCATCTACATTTACAGAAAAGAAAACCAGGTTCTAGGAATATTCATTGATAGGCTCAAGGTCAATCAGCCAGGGACATAAGCCAGAACTTGAGCTCTCCTCTGCTGCCCTTCACAGCGTATATTCATCCCATCAAACTGAGCTGCTTTTTTTCCCATTCCGAGCCTTTTAACAACATAAACAGCCATGCTCCATCCTCACTTGGTAAGAGGCAGTGGCAGACAATCAAAAGAGTAGAGCCTCTGTCCCCGTGACATGAAGCTCTAAGACGAAATGACCAGTCAAATCCAAATTGACAGATATTCTGTAAAACAACTGGCCTGGTCTCTTTAAAAAACGTCAGTGTTATAAAAGATCAAAAAACAAAAAAAGGCTGAAATGCTATTTGAGATGAAAAGAGACTCAAGAGACTTGACAAGTAAATTCAGTAAGTGATCCTGGATTGAATCCTGAATGAAAAAAAAATACTATAAGAAACATTTTGTAAACAATTGGGAAAATAAACCAGATATCCGTTAAATGGTAATGTATTAATGTGAAACTTCCCAAGTATAATTATTGTATTATGGTTCTGTAGGAAAATGCCCTTGTTCCTTGGAGATAAACTGAAATATTTAGAAGTAAATCAACACAATGTTCCTAAACAATTCTCAGATGGATTAGCAAAATTAGGTAGCTGGGTAAGATAGGTAGACAGAGAGAGAATGCAGATGTGGCAGAATGCTAACAATTAAAGGGTCAAGGGAGGTTACTATACTATGCTTGCAATCTTTCCGTAGTCTAAAATTTTTCAAAATAAAAATTTGAGGGAAAAAACCTTAAATGTATCCATTACCCCACCCCTGCAAAAGAGAGAAAGAAAACAAAAGGAAGGCCTTTAAGTTGAACATGCCTGAGTTGACAACAAAGCGCCTGCCACTTCCTAGCCGTGGGACCTCTGAGCTCTCAGCTGGAGAAGTGTGCAGTAATGCCAACCCACCATGCTTCTGTGGGGGTGATGTCAGACACAATCAGTGTGAAGCTGGGAGCTCAGCATCTAGCGCAGTGTTCTCACTGTTCATATTTGTTTGTTCTCTTCCCTTCCTCCTTCCTAATCCCCATTTCATCTGCAGAATCCATTAAACTGGGCACTGAGGGAGATTAGCTCAGGACAAATAAGAAAAACTATGTACCCTGTAGGGCACACAATGGAGACATGACGCCCCTGCAGGGACACTGACTGCAGCCTGCCTGCCTACCTGTGATGCAGGCTGGCCGATCCTCCGAACGTCAGATTTTGGCTGGGGACATCGACCAGCTAAAAGTCAGAAATGCCTCCATCCCAGATTTTGTCACCTACAACTTGCTGGTTCATATCACAGATGAGAACTCAGACACTAACCAGAGTTTCTCAAAGTGGGGTCCTCGGCTCATTGGCAACAGAATCGGCTGTGGCTCATGTAAAAATACAGATTCCTGAGCCCCACTCAGCTCTGTTGAGTCGGCTTCCCTGGAGTGGCTGTGGGAGTGTCCATGCTAACACTGATGTCTATGTGGTTCCGAGGCACAGTTGAGTCTGAGTGCCCTGACCTGCACTGTGGCTGTGGGAGATGTGCTACCTTATTGCAAAACTGGTCCACTGGAGGAGTGAATTCCTGTGGAGTGCCTAATAATAACATGCAAAGGCTATAACCACCACAAAAATGTCTGTCAATAGGAGCAAACAGAAATACAAATTGACTTGTACATAAAGATAAAACTGAGCCAGGCGCGGTGGCTCACACCTGTAATTCCAGCACTTTGGGAGGCCAAGGCGGGAGGCCTGAGGTCAGGAGTTTAAGACAAGCCTGGCCAACATGGTGAAATCCCATCTCTACTAAAAACACAAAAATTAGTCGGGTGTGGTGGTGGGCACCTGTAATCCCAGCTACTTGGGAGGCTGGGGCAGGAGAATCGCTTGAACCCGGGAGGTAGAGGTTGCAGTGAGCCGAGATCGCGCCATTGCACTCCAGCCTGGGCAACAAGAGTGAAACTCCATCCCAAAAAAAAAAAAAAAAAGATAAAAGCAGGAGGCTTAGGAAGAAAGCAGTGCTTCTCTCTGGCCTGTGCCAGCTCCTGACTCAAAGCGTGCAAATGAGACACTGCCCAGCCTTGGAGTGAGGAGGCCCATAGTCTAGAGTCCCCAAACAATCATTGTCTGCATCTTAAGACTGAAAGGATCAGAGTGGGCTCGAAGGCCTGGGCAGAAGGAGCCCCTCCACCCACCATGACTCTGGAAAACTGCAAAAACCAACAGTTCTCTCCTTCGGACATTTACAATATGCAGTGATTCTACAGTATGTTGTAAACCCTAAGAGATCCAGAAATCCTAATGATGAGATGCTCACTTAGATTCTGCTCCAGATGTACCAGTGCCTCTCTGCACTGTGCCCAGCAGCCTCAGAGGACTCTCTATGGGGACGGATGCTCTGTCGGATGCCACTTAGGTGAAGGAAGATGACAGCAGTCATCTGGGTTCCCTGAGGGCCCTGCAAGAGCTTGTTAGTGGATGTTTGGTTTGGAAGGTTACTGAGCTCCTTCCTCTCTCTTCCAGCCCAGGAGATCAGACCATTTGGCCAGGAACATTCCCTTCCAACCCTGAGAATCCTCCATGCCAAGCTAGCTCCTGCTCAGGGCAGGCATCTCCCCACAGGGTCTGAGTTATTTTAGGAGACTTGATATCCCGCACTCAGCCCTAGGGAGGGTAAGAAAAGGACAGACAATTGGGCGGTATCCACCCCCATCCCCAGACTGAGAAAGACGACAGACGGCCATTTGCAACTTTAACTCTTTCTTGGCTCTGGCAAAGACCAATGCATCCCACTTAGCAAAGTCTCAGATGGCAGCATGGTAACCATTTCAATTCGAGAAAAAAAAAAAAAATAACAAAGTGTAGTGGGAGAAAATTATGCATGGAAAGTGACTTTTAAAAATTGCCTTTAAATATTACAGCCAAAGTGAGAGGCTGGAAATTGCATCAGAACATTTTTTTGGTGTGGTTTAACACTGAAGAAATCCACCACTTTCCCAACTGCAGGGCTTCAAGTAATATTTCATCTTTTCAGGAACACCAAAGTTTAGTTTGAAAATGAGGAAAATTGGATTAAATGCTTCAGATTTAGGGTGTTTTCCTGGCACCCTAGCACATGAAGTCACTCACAAGTAAACCCAGGTAACTTTAATCTTAGTGGTTTCAATGTTTAATGCCTTTATGTTCTTTTTTTTCTTTTTCTTTTTTCTTCTCTTTTTTTTTTTTTTTTTTTTTGAGACAGGGTCTCACTCTGTCACCCAGGCCAGGCTGGAGTACAGTGGCACAATCATGGCTCAGAGCAGCCTCGATCAATCCTCTCACCTCAGCCTCCCAAGTAGCTGGGACCACAGGCACACGCCACCATGCCTGGCTAATATTTTATTTTGTATTTTTTGTAGAGATGAGGTTTTGTCAGGTGGCCCAGGCTGGCGGTCTTGAACTCCTGGACTCAAGCAATCCACCCACCTCGGCCTCCCAAAGTGCTGGGATTATAGGCGTGAGCCACAGCGCCCGGTATGTCTTTTGTTTCCATTATTACAGTCAGTGTGTGAAGCCCAGGCACGGGAGCTGGGTGGGTCTAACATCTGGACTGCTGTGCACAGAGAGGATGCTCTGCAGGAGGATGTGGGAGGGAGGCAGAGATGGATGCAGCCAGCAGGAGAGTCTGCAATGATTCTGCAAAGATAAAGGTGCCCTTTTGCATGTGGTGGTGTGGTTTAAGGCCAGAGGTAATAACTCAGATTTAAGAACTGTGACTTGGTGGATTTCTACTAGATTCAATCCCACACACAGTCACTGGGGCTAGCACTTGGCAGGCACTCAGAGAATCCCGGGTGGGCAGAAGTGAATAATGCACAGCCCCTGCTGCCTGCCCTCCAGACCTCTCTCAAGAAGAGGAGGATCACACATCCTGGGTACCTGGTAATCCCAAAGCTAATCCCCCACAGAAGAAAACCTAAAGGTGCTGGTTGGCTCATAGTATTTAAGTCCTCCTCAGTTGCAGAAAAACACTGCTGTGTTCTTGATCACCACTTGCTTCTGAAGCAAATCAAAGCAAGCACAGCCTTCCTGCTTCACTCTGACACCAGCCTCCTCCAGTCTGTCCCAGTTCTGGCCTGACCTGAGGCAGAAGCTCCTAGCAGAAGCTCCAAGCAGAAGCAAGGTCTGACCACCCACCCAGCCCTGCAGATATCCCCATATATTCTCTCTCTGCCGGCGCCGTTAGAACCCTGGGACTCCTTGGCACCTGACTGACCTGTGATGTCCTCCGACCAGGCCTGATTTCTTTTCTCCCCACGTTCACTTCCTCCTTGCCTACCAGCTTCACAGATCCTTCTGCCAGACCTTCAGGCTATCTGACCCAGACCTTTCTGCCCCTACATGCTCCTGTGTACTTCTGACTCTCACTGGCCTAACTTGACCTATTGCCACTAAGCCCCGGGTTCCAGTGGTGGCCTTTGAGACGGCTATCAGTCTGACGTTTGGGACTGAAAAAGCCACTGCACTCAGCGGATTTGCAGGCTTCATAATTTATGCTGCATTTGCCAGATGGCAGGCAGTTTGACCATTAAGATGCATCACTGCAAAGCAATTCAACTCATTTGCTCTCTTAGCACCCACCTGTAGATCAGGGCCCTGCGTACACAGCCCCTTGAGTAAGGTCACCAGAGAAAATACAGAGTATTCAGTTATACTTGGATTTCTGGTAAATAAATAATAATTAGCTATAAGTATGTCCCAACTATCTCATGGATGTCCTTTGTTGTTGTTGTTTTTGAGACAGGGTCTCCCTCTGTCACCCAAGCTGGAGGGCAGTGGCACAATCATGTCTCACTGCAGCCTCAACCTCCCAGGCTCAAGTGATCCTCCCATCTCAGCCTCTTGAATGGCTGGGACTACAGGCTTGCACAACCATGTCCAGCTAATTTTTTTTTAGAAGGAGTCTTGCTCTGTCGTCACCCAGGATGGAGTGCAGTGGTGCAATCTCGGCTCGCTGCAACCTCCATCTCTGGGTTCAAGTGATTCTCCTGCCTCAGCCTCCCTAGTAGCTGGGGTTACAGATACCTGTGCCTGGCTAATTTTTGTGTTTTTAGTAAAGATGGGATTTCACCATGTTGGACAGGCTGGTCTTGAACTCCTGACCTCAAGCGATCTGCCTGCTTCAGCTTCCCAAAGTGCTGGGATTACAGGCATGAGCGCCTAGCATAATTTTGTTTATTTTTTGTAGAGACCAGGTCTTACTATGTTGCCTAGGGTGGTCTCCAGTTCCTGGGCTCAAGCAATCCTCTCTGCCCTGACTTTCCAAAGTGCTAGGCATGAGCCACCATTTTTTTTTTTTTTCTAAATATGGCAGCCCTATCCTAAGACACCTCTACTATCCTGAATGGAAAACAATGATCGGCCAGCTTATATTTTACAAACAGGGAAACTAGCCCCAGAGGTCACAGAGGATGTCAGATAAGAATGCAGGAGTCTTCACCCCAGACTGGAACTCTTTGCTTCCATTACACTTAACTTTGCTAAAGGCATATACCCTCTTCTTGCTAGAAGGTGACTGTCAGTTGCCTGGAGGTGATTTCAAAGGGTCACTGAGGTCATAATTTATGACCTCTCTGCTCCACCCCATCCTCACCTCCACCCCCTTTCCTATTGCTGTAAGTATCACAGAGGCTGTCCTGGGTTATGGCCATTCTGGGGCCACATCATTAATGGCCACCTCAGAGAGGAAGTGGACTGTAAGTGGCAGGGCCAGAGACAGCTGTGAGTGAGAGCCCATAATTGGGTAACACAAGGACAAGTGGGATTTGAAACAGGCAAACACCGGGCAAAGCATGTTGGGAGAGGCCCACTTAATTCACAGAGACACTTGGAATTAGCTGTAAATTCTCTGGGAAGAGATCAAGGCAGCGGCATAAACAGCTCAATTAAACTGTCGGCTCAATGCTCAGTGCACAGTAATGGTCAAAACACAGACTTTAATCTAGATATAGAGGATTATTTCTCGACCCATAATGAGATTCCTAAGATTAGTTGTACCTGATGTGGAGAGAACAACAGCTGGCTCAGCGACACTGGGGACAGGCTTGCATGTCAGCAGGACTGGGACTCATGTGGAAGGCGCTAACTGGATGCCACAACCTTCCTGGAGCCCCCTCCGGATGCCAGGAAGGCAGGGATGAGTCATGTTCTGCTTCCTCCATTTAAGAGATCTGAGAACAGAACCCCAGAATGCATGTGCTTCAAAAGTACAGCAAGTCAAAACAGTATGGCTCTGGCATAAAAACAGACACATAGACCAATGGAGAGAATAAAGCCCAGAAATAAACCTGAGTGTATATGGTCAACT